CGTGAACTTACACATCAATTAAATCCACTAATGTAAAATTCAGCTAGACCAAAAACAGTGGGAGAAAAGGCATGAAAAGAACAGCACTACTGGGGGAGTTATTGCTGTGTTCTAAGCAACCCACTGGGTGTCAATGGGACTTCCCAGTACTCAGTAGCAGTGTGTGTGTTATGATTTATCTCACTGATATCATTGTCCATGTTTTACTGTGTTGTTATTTTTGTATTTTTTAAAATTGTTTTATCTTGTTCTCTCCCTGAGGTTTCTCCCATGTTCCCTTTAAACTGGGTTTTCACCGGAAGTGTTTCCTTGTACGATGTGAGGGTCTAAGGACAGAGGGTGTCGTATTGTCATACTGATATTCTGTACACACTGTGAAGTCCACTGAGACAAATGTAACGTTTGTGATATTGGGCTATATAAATAAACATTGATTGATTGATGATTTATTTTAATATTGTTATGTTTTCTTCTTGTTCTGTAAAGCACTTTGGGCTGCAAATAAAGTTTATTATAGCTATTATTATTATGTCTGTGTTATGAGTGTGTTCAGAGCTCCTACCATGGAGAGCACGGTCTGGGTCTGCTGGAGGATGGGCTCCGGCAGCAGCGAGATGTGGACACACTCTGGGATCGTCACCGTGCCGCCATCCAGGTCAGCGATGATCACGTCCAACTGAAAACACACACACACTTTTCATCTCTGCCCAAAGGAAGACCGTTGATATGAGTACGGCAGCATGATTACTGACAAAACAGAGAGAGACAATGTCGTCTCTGTCGACAGCCGCTCATTACAGGACACTCGCCATGTCTGTCACACACACACACACACACACACACACACACACACACACACACACACACACACACACACACACACACACACACACACACACACACACACACACCACACACACACACACACACACACACACACACACACACACACACATCACACACCCACACACACACACACACACACACACACACACACACACACACACACACACACACACACACACACACACACACACACACACACACACACACACACACACACACACACACACACACACACACACACACACACACACACACACACACACACACACACACACACACACACACACACACAGGAGGGTTCATTACACTTTCATCAAGCTTTAATAAGACAACAGCAGTTCGTGTCTTTGATCATGAGATCCAGAGGCAGTGATTTCTGTCATGGACACAGAGGCATCATTTATCTTGGCACGGTCTGGAACGGAGCGTTGAGTCAGAATTGGTAGCAAAAAGGCCAGATGAGCATCTTATTAAAAGACGGATGAAGCGTTGCTTAACGGGTCAGCGAGAGTTTACATGAAACGCTATCTTCAACGTAATTAAAACTCAGATGCATCTGTAGGGTAGATTATCGTGTCCTCTCCGTCTGATTATAACAATCTATTCCCGTCTTTTTGTTGGAGGCCAAAATATAAAACTATTCATTCAGCTTTTGACACCATGAGTGCTTTATTTAAATCACATGTGATGTGTCGCAGCTGGAAAAGGGCAGAGTGCCTGCTGTGACGATTAATGACTGAAAATCGATGGAACCCCAATGTAGGAAATATGTTCGTTATAACCTTTAACTGGATGTTTTTTATTATAAATTAAATATCCCTAATGTAGGACTTTAAGCTGTGTGACGACTAGGGATGGGTACCGTCAAGGTTTTAACGGTACTACTACTTTTATCGACCCGGTATTTTAACGGTACTCTTATCGGTTCTTTTGGAGAAAGAAATAAGGTTAACTAACTAAACAAATTGTGAACAAAATTAACATTGCTTTTATTTAAATTAAATAAATAATATTTCACATCAAAAGAAACGACAATGTTTTAACAAATGGTATTAAATAATCTGATGATAGAACTGTGAACAGAATAGCTGAAACTTTAACAAACTAAATAACTCAGTTTCCTATAATCATTAACCCATGTTTGTATCATGGAGTTAACTCCGTGTGTTGCTGCTAGCATACGTTATAACACCTAACGTGGAAACGTTACTCGTGGATGGAGCTACAGAGCTGCTAGAAAGACAGTGGAACCCGGTGCATTCCTCCGTCTGGATGTGGAGCACTTTTGCTAAATGTTTAGACAAATTGCTCGTGTTACCGCCCTGACATGCTAAACTCTTATTGCACTTTGGGTAACGAGCATCGTCCACATCGAGACGGGTAAAGTTTAACCACCTCGGAGCGCGTTCTCTCCGCCATCTCCTCCGTGTGTGTGTTGCTGCATGTAGCAGCTGCGTGTGTGTAAACTGCCCCGCCCCCTCGCACACAGACGGGGAGAGAGATCTCGTCTGGATTGGAAAGATCGAAAATACATCATAGACTCCTTGATTTTTCATATTAGGCGACACTAAAACTGCAATATAATGTCTTTGTAGCAATAATACACATGATAAATCTTTTTACATGTCGATAACGTCGGAGCTTAACGGTACCACGGTCTTTAATAATTCAGCCCCGGGGCCCGGTACCCATCCCTAGTGACGACACTAAACATGTTGATTTTAAAAGGATAAGCGCCCATGAGATAGTATAATATAATAATAACCATGTACATTAAGGAGTGAACATGTGGGTGTCTCGGCAGGATGCATTTTCCACAAGAGTTACATTTGTCTTATACACATTCAAAGTATTATTGCATTTGTGTGTCACGTCGTAGAGATAGGAACTCACCAGCTCTTGTGTCTCCAAGCGAAAGACGGAGTTGACCCCGATGATGAAGGGGGTCGGGGTGCTCAGGACTTCTAGAAGTTTCCCCGGCAGGATGGGAACGTAGGTGAAGCTGAGAGGGAAGCAAACAGGAAGAGATTCAGCACCTGGCGCTTTTTACGCTGCTATGGACAGTCTGGCACTAATGTACATTTCCCGAAGATACTGAAGTGACTGTTATTTTGTATATATTGATTGTTGTGCTTTAATTTATGTCTTAAAGGTCTCATGTCATGCTTTTCCGGTTATTACCCTTTTTCTGCATGTAAACGGTCTGCAGAGTCACAAACCCTCAAAGTACACCCTGTAGCGAGTAAAACTCTAACAGAGAAGACCTGTCTGTGCTGCCCCAGAACGCCTCGATGGAGATTTCTCTTTTTCCATTGTTTACTTCTATATATAGGGTATAGTGACGTATTTCGGGTATAGTGACGTAACGTAACGGCTCCGCATATTGGTCCAAATCAAATCAAATGGACCAATCCGGAGCCGCTACGTTTGGACCAATCCGCAGACTTCCACACTCGGCGGGACTTTGCGAGGCTCGCTGCGGCGAGGAGCGGGACACTGTGAGCTGGCTCACTGGTGTGGGGTCAGCGAGACAGCGAGACACCGCGGAACTCAGCCTGGGCACACACACAAACTCCCAGCCAGGCTGCGGGTGTGTGTGTGCCCAGGCTGAGTTTTGCTGTGTCTCGCAGACGGCCACTGGGCTCACAGGGAGTGGGGGGGTGGGGGGGGGGGGGGCAGGAGCTCCACCAAGCCGTTTAGGACAGAGTGAAGACACATACTTTACAGAGATGCTGTATAAGAAACCAATGAGACTTTGGAAGATTTATTTTAGTAGACCTCAACAATGGAATGATGATCAGTAGAAATGGCCATGACATAAGACCTTTAAGGTGTGCATATGTATAAGTTAGGGATGGGAATTTGAAAGCAACTTTATATTACAATATTCCACCCCCAAAAAAACGGTTAACCGATTAACCGAAATGTACATATCATATATATATTTTTTTAAATGTTAAGTTTTAATAATAAATACATTTGTTTGTTGTGTAGGACTCTCCGTTAGAGCGTAACGTTACACATGTTTTTAAAAAAAATATTTTTAATGGCACTATCGTATACATTTGATTAATCCATTTGATAATATGTAATCAATTTCGGCACCCCTCCCATAAAAAAAAAGTTACAATAAAAAGATTCATAACTCATATTCAAATACCTGAATCATTTGAATATTCGATTAATCATTCCCATCCCTAGTATAAATGTGTGTATATATATATATATACATATTTGTATATATTTGTATTCGGGATTGTGGGAAACAGTATTTCGATCTCTCCGTCTGTACACACAAACTGAAAGATTGACAATAAAGTTGACTTTGACTCTGCTCTATCACAAAGAGATACAGGTGTCCTGAAATCTAGTTTTGTAATTATCAACTGCACTGATAAATAAATACATGTACAATAACTTACTTATTGACTTGTTTTACTGCCTTGACCGTATTGTTCTTGTATGGTATGTGTTATAAGCGTACGGTCCAATTTATAGTCACTTTATATATTAAACGTTTTTAGCTTGTATTGTCAAAATGATACTTATACTGTCTGTTATGTGTGATTGCACCGTCGGGAATGCTTGGAATTTCGCTGTGACGTGACAATAAAGGAATCTCATCTGAAGTACCTGTATTTGAGGGGGAACATGATGGCCAGCAGCCCCCTGCAGGCGTCCGTCAGCCTCTGGTAGCTGCTGGACAGAAACAGGATCTTGTGCTCCGTCAGCGCGGCGCAGAACAGATACAAAACGTTCACGATGCCTGAAGGGAACAGGAGAGGGGAGAGGAGAGGCTTTAAAGGGAGGGAAGGACACAACAAATACATTCACACACTGAGTCTCTTGTTTGTTTTTTTGTATTATTTGATGGCCCCTTAAAAATAAAAGGATTAGCTCTACCCATCTCATTGTACCTGTATAATGACAATAAAGGATTATATTCTATTTTAAACTCTGATTGATAGACTCAAGCCCATACCCACCACCCACCTGTTTATATATGTTACTGTCAATGCCGTTTACACTGTATATATTCATCTGTTTATAGCCTATTTATAATTATTCTATTAATAACAATTCCATATATAATTATTCTCATTATGTAGACTCCTGCACTGCTATTCTGCACTTCTGGTCAGATGCCTAAACTTACATTTCGTCACTAGTACATGTACTATGTAATGACAATAAAGTTGAATCTGAATCTGATTGATGTTGTGTCCCTAAATGTTGTTTTATTGATTGATTTAATTCTTGTTTTTTTTACCTCTGTTAAGTTCCTTTAAGCACCTGATGAAGCGCATGATAAAAGAAACGATTATTATTATCACATTAATAAGGTTTCCTACGTCAACCACTTTTACTGTCCTCAATAAAAACAATATTCTTATAAACAATATTTGTGAATTTAAGAATGTCCCCAACATGATGCCAGTATAAACAGTAAATGGATTCCTACCATTGGAAGACTCACTGTTTACAAAGCAAAAGAGTGACATTATTTATTGTGTGTTTTTATTTCATTTATGTTTTATTCATCAAGGATATTTCAAGGTTTTTTGTTCATTATTAAGTAAATTGCGCTTTGAAAAGGTTTATTTGCATTATTTTGTCATATGTACCTTATTATCAGCCACAATTATCTTTAACTGACAATTTCCCAATGTTTTCTAGGTCAATATGTAGGTAGAACATCACAAGGTTTTGTCGGTGGTTTACTTTTATTGTTTTATTATTAATATGGAAAGCTCTAGAAATCTAATTGGACAATAAAAAATAATAATTTAAAGTTTTTCTTGTGTTTTTTTTAATAGTAAAGGATGGGAAATTAACCAAAAGTCCAGTAAGTTAAAATAAAGGAAATAGTTATAGACCCTTCGAAAATCTGATGTGTAGAAACTTCCAGCTGTATTACCGCATTCATCTTAATCAACATTTAAAATACATGAGTTTGATTTAACAACTTAATCTGAATTAAACACTATTTGAAAGAACGGCAGGTGTAGCATTATTTCCTCATTTCTCATAACCATACCGAGCTGTCTGAAGAGCTGCGCCACGGTGCTGCCGCTAACAGGAAGTGCGTCATCGATGGGAGTCTGGATGACTTGCCGGTCGCCAGCACCTAATGTGATCGTTCTCTACGGGTCGAGAGAGAGGGAGAGAAAAGAAGGGTTTAAAAAGGGAGGTGAGAAACCCAGAGAACATCGGGTGCTTCTTCTTCATATTATTATTTTTTAATCAGGGGTTGAGAGTGAGGTGTAATCACAGGTGAGCAGCGTGAGGCAGCCACAGAGTGACGGAGGATCCCAGAAGCTTAGCAGGTGCATCACAAATAAAACACACAAGCCATTCCAGCTGATCAACACCACCTGATCCACGAGTCGTTATGCCACACGGCAGGTGTCATGCGCTGGAGATTTTCCACGGCAGTAAGCGGTTAATGTAAGCGCGGGTGGAAAGCAGATTGATCAGAGGGAAGCTGTACGGATGATTCATTTCGGGCCGTGAAGCGAGTCCTGGAGGAAAATGAACTTCTAGAGAAGGTTGGAAAGTGTCTTTGTGTTACGGCCCGTCCACACTACAGCTTCAAAAACGGTTTCCAACGCGTCTGCCCGTTCACTTTGAATGGGGTGACGTCATTTTTCGCCGAACTGCATTGTGGGAAGCAGAGCGGAGCTTTCCTGGCGTTTCAGGCTGCAAAAGTTGAGCAATGTTCAACTCTTGAAGCTTCTGAAGCTTTCGGTGGAAGCGTCAGCCAATCAAATCATATGCCAGTACAAGCTCTAGCCAATCAAACCGCTGCTTGTGTGTCAGGGGCGGGAGATTCATGTGATTGGTTGTTGGTCGAGCTTCAGACACGCCCAGCTCCAAGCTTTTTTTGAAGCTGTCGTGTGGACGGGCCGTAAAGCCACTGCGTCTAATAACTACCATTAAGCAAATTGACCTGAAGTTCACTCTGCTCCAGACAAAACCAATCAATATTGACTCGTGTGGTTTGGACCTGAGAGGAAAGGGGAATCATTTGAGTAAATCAATAGAATATGAGCACAATAACACAGCATGGCAGCACAACATTGAAGCACGATCACATGACACCCGGTCACAGTATACCTTGTGCACAGGATTTCTGATAAACATGCTATTTCACCCTAGAATGAGCAAGAATAAAATGTCAGGTAATGCTTTATAAGCCCTCGTTTTGCACAAGTAGTGGCCAAATAAAATCTGTGTTTTGAGATATTGAAATATCCCAGACCTTGACATGAAATGACTTCTCCTGGACTATTTTACGCACCAGTAAAAATCAGAGGTGTATTTCTAATCTGTAGCCAGATGTGTGCAGCTGGGAGGTGGAGGACAGTGCAGCTTTATTTCATGCTCTCTACAGCAGCAGCAGAGGCGAGCAACTCAATCCTGTGATCCAACATCTGATTATTAGCTGTGTTGTTATTCATCGTTTGGCTTTAATAATAAGTGGGAATATTAACGCAAATGCTAACAAGAAATGTCTTTATTTCCTATTTACATAGCTGCATAAGCTTCTATTAAATGTGGTCTATTAAAAGCAACTGTCTGTCAAATGAATTCAACAGGAAAAGTCCACTATTTAGATATTCAATTAATTATTAAGTACTTAGTAGTAAAATCTGAAATAGCTGTTTTCTGCTTCTCAAATTTGGTGATTTTTATGGATTTATTTTCTCTGTTTTATCATTTCAAATAAAGTAAATATCTCTAGGTATGGTCCGATAACAAGACTCTTAAAGACCTTGAAACAGGGATGTACGTTTGACACTATTTACTAAAACCATGTATTACTGATAATGTATATCTAATGCTAACAAAGGCTAAACGGGAAGGACAGTTATTAAAAACAACTCTAAGTTGATTGGACACCATTAACCTACACCTTATTTTGATTCAATGGGAGACAGATGAGATGTTATAGGACCTTAATGATCAGTTGTTGGTCACATATTGAGTTTGCATCAAAGCGTTTTGATTGGTTCTCCTGCAGTGAGGAGGCGTGTGTGGACCGGCTGAGGGGGGATGGTGACAGAAAAAAGGAAGCTACGATTGGTAAAGAGAGGAGAATGAAGTCAGGCCGGCGTACCAAACTCTCCTCCGTCTCCTCCTGGCCCGGCTACACAAGCACACACACACACACACCATCACACACACCATCACACCCCCCCCGCAGGATAAGACACAGGTTAGAAACAACAGGAGGGAGGGCACAGAGAATCCTGGCTGAACAACGATGAGGCGATAATGTCTTGCAGGGCAAAACAAGGAAGCTGCACAAACATGAACTGCACGATGACGGCTGTGTACAAAAAAAACATCGGACACACACACACACATGCAAAACAAAGTGTTGTGTGTATTGGCATTCAGCAGCACAATGACATCAACAGATGAGTTTCATGACATTCTACTTCTTAATAAACAACAGGAGACATAACGTTACGCTGATCCATCATATAGTTTGTAGAGGGGGGAATGCACATTACATGTACTTGACCACACACACACACCGCCTCGTTGCACATTATCCCACTTATAACAAGGTTAAATACCAAAATAGTGCCAACTTGACTCACAATATTTAAATGATCGTACTTTTCTTCTGCTAAGAAGAAATCAATTTGAAGAATTTCAGTCCAGCCCTTAAATATATATATTTATTAAACACAGCTTACGAATACTCCATTCTGATTGGTCAATTTGGACATTCCAGAGGTCTGTTCATTCTTGCTAACAGACCGTTGCTAGGGAGGATCAAGGGACTATGTGCAGCCATATCAATCCGCGGAAAGAAGTCCGGTCGATTTAACGTTATCTGTGCACAACTAACATTAGTTTTCCTCCATCACGAAACACTGGAATATATTTTGAATATTCATTTTTGTATTTGTGGAGAGCAGAAGACTTACACACGTGTTTAAGTATGTATTGTATGCCCCTTGTAGCACTTTGGGGTTGCTTTTATTAACGAAAGGTATTTCACAAATCAAATGAATTATTACGACTACATCAGGGTTGTCCAAACTGCGGCCCGTTGCCCATTTTTAATAGGCCCTCAGCCAACTCTTAAAGTATAATGGAATATGGCCCACACCTGAAACTAAGCTTGTCTTATACTGTACTTCTTAAATATATCTAAAATGTGTTAATGAGCCCATAAGTTCAGTCTGATAAAGATGAGAACATTTTCTAACAAATCTTAGCCGAGACAAAAAGCCTATAACTTATTTCCAAAAAACAAGCTTGAAATAGACCCTTCGTATTTCCACTCTGAGGCTTCTGCTTTAAGGATGAGCTGCCAACACAATACATGAAGCCCTCTGGAGAGCTGACATGTAGGCTGTTAAAAGCATCATCAATGATCAAATATTGATTGATTTTGCTAACTTATAACTTATGAGGCAATATACCTGTAGTGAGAGTTTTGAGACCCCTGCCTTACATATTAGGGCTGAACTGAATTTCTTTAAATGAAGCTTTACTTGTATTCCTCTGAGACACTAAGAATAATACAGATACTCTAACCTGCTGAGTAATACAACGCTAACTATTTAAAGTGTTACCATGACTAATGTCTAGTGGCAGAGATACATTCACTGTCACATTGCTCGAGTTATTGTGAGCGTGTGTGAGTGTGAGTGTGTGTGTGTGTGTGTGTGTGTGTGTGTGTGTGTGTGTGTGTGTGTGTGTGTGTGTGTGTAGGAAAGCAATGACAGACATTTAGCGAGGCTGATAGAAGTCCCATGTGATTTAACGGTGGCAGGAATGTGTGTAAGTGTGTGTTGCTGCTGTGCTTAGTGTTAGAGACACAGAACGGTTTGTCCTTAAAGGGATAGAAGCAGGCGTCAAGAATCAGTGTGCGTGTACACGTGTGTGTGTGTGTGTTTGATTGAGACAAACTGGGAGTGTGTGAATCAATGAGTGTTTATGTTTTCACATGTGCATAAGACTCGTCTGTATGAAAACTGATAAGATCCGATCTTATCATTCAGCCACTGTACCGGCTGCTAGGAAGCCATCTGCCGCTCCATATGGTCGCACAACAACTCAAATACAACCTGTGTGTGTGTGTGTGTGTGTGTGTGTGTGTGTGTGTGTGTGTGTGTGTGTGTGTGTGTGTGTGTGTGTGTGTGTGTGTGTGTGTGTGTGAGAGATTTACGAAACAACTTATAAAATAAAAGATGACGGCAAGTATTCCAGTGTTTTTATACATTTTTTGTTGGACTGTTTTTTATTTTATACCTCTTAATGTGTGTATATATATGTTTACTTAAGTGGGTGGTCAGGTGCGTATGTATGTATTTATATATTAGCATATGTATTTTTATATATTCTTATTCTTGGGGACAGTGAGAAACAGAATTGTTATCTCTGCGACGATAAAGTTGACTTTGACTTTTGATAATCATTGTTTTAAAGGCCTTTTTACAGCTGCAACAACTCAGGTTTATGACAAATATAAGGGATGAAAAAAGTGAAATGTTTCAAATGATGTGTGGAAACTGTTTCGATCACAAAACAAACAAAAAAAGCAGCTTAAAAATAGATCAAGCGCCATCAATCCCGCATGATTTGAACTGAGTGCAAGAACAAAAACATATTCCTCAAAAGGAAAAAACGACATCCAGGCTGTTATCAGATTATCAGAATCAATAACATTGAGCTGGTTGTTGATTGGTGAAGCCGAGCGGGAGTTACCTGGAGACAGGCCAGCAGCCAATCACACGCCTGAGGAACCTTTAGTAAACTACAAACTGGAGCCTCCTCTGTCTGTAACACAGAGGAACCAGCGCACAGAGGAGTGTAAATCACACACACGTTATAACATCTGGAAAGCACAGTCAACCCATGTGCATCTGGAGAAAAATAGACCCTTCCTTTTTAAGTGTGCACACCATGAACATGAATGTGTACTTGGAAAAAAGCAGATTCTGGAGATATTGTAAAATAAAAAACATGATTTGAACAAAAAATATGAGAAAAACACAGAAAAAAGGGAGAAAAATTAAGAAAAAAAAAAAAAAATGTTTGAATAAATGTTGATTTATCTGTTAAGATAAACACAAAAACAACACTAGAACAAGTATTAATCTAAAAAATAACACAAACTCAAACATATTTGTTTAGTTTATCCGGTTATTAATAGAAGGACTGTTGTTTTCTTATAGGGTCATGCTTATAAAATGACCTGATGTGTGTCTGTCATGCAACACAAAGAATCTATGTGTTTTCCAAAGATGTGAAATAAGCGATAATGGAAAAGACAATTTGCTTAAACGTCCACTCGAGAGTGTGTTTACAATAGGGATGGGAACTATTAATCGAATATTCGAAATTATTCAGGTATTCGAATAATTATTCATGTATTCGAATATGAGTTATGAATATTTTTATTTTTTTTGGGAGTGATTCCTAAATTGATTACATATTATCAAATTGAATAATTCAATGTATATATACGACTGTGCCATAGCTAAATGTGTTAGGTGACGTCTAAAGGTGTGTTTTGCTCCGCTCACTGGTCCCTCACGGCCCGTCCACACAGCGGCTTGCGTTGACGCTTGCCGGCGGGCGTGTCTGACACTCGACCAACAACCAATCACATGAATCTCCCGCCCCTGACACACAAGCAGCGGTTTGATTGGCTAGAGCTTGTACTGGCATAAGATTTGATTGGCTGACGCTTCTGCCGAGGCGTCAAAAGTTGAACATTGCTCAACTTTTGCAGCGAGCCACGCCAGCAACGCTCCGCGTCGCTTCCCACGATGCAGTTCGGTGCAAAGTGACGTCACCCCATTCAAAGTGAATGGTGAAGCGCCAACGCACGCCGCTGTGTGGACGGGCCGTCACAGCGGGCAGAGCTGCAGGTGCTGATCTCTCTCTCTCGTGTCCGGTTATACTTCACTCGCGTTTATGTCCAAATCCATCAGATCTAGCTCTAGCTAATGATATGGCTGCTGCCCCTCCTTACACGCAGATCACGCAGACTCAAACCTCATCTTAGGCCCAAATGTGGCGCAAATGTGCTCCGCAGCCGTTGCGAGGTTCCGGCGCCAACAGTTCATGAGCGTGCTCCCCCGCCCCCTGTCAACACTCGCGACACATGAGTGGCCAGCCTAAACAACAATAAGCGCTGCTTGGCAACTGTGTGTGGCGGCAAAGTGCATAGACATTTTGACTGGAGAGATTTAGTTTTGCCGCTATTCAACATATTTTACCAGTCATAGTCCGGTAATTATTTACACTCTAAGAAGAGTCCTACACAACAGACATGGCGTCAAAAAGGAGTGATGTGTGGAAATATTTCGACCAGGTTAGTGAGTGCGGTGTAGAGGTCAAACTATGCAAAATTAAACTTATATATACATGCTATACCTTGCTATACCCGCAGCCTCCGTTCCAGCTGAGAGGGTCTTCTCTACAGCTGGCCTGATTCCTCCCGGGAAAAGATTGTCCCACTCTTGACCTAACAATCAACATCGGCACCTCAGTTGTTTCCCCGACTCAGACTGCAAGGAATCTGGGTGTGACCCTAGATAACAACCTGTCCTTCACTGCAAACATCGCTGCTACAACCCGTTGCTGCAGATACACGCTTTACAACATCAGGAAGATACGTCCCCAGCTGACTCAGAAAGCGACTCAGGTTCTGGTCCAGGCTCTCGTCATCTCACGCCTAGACTACTGCAACTCCCTCCTGGCTGGTCTACCTGCATGTGCCATCCGACCTCTGCAGCTCATCCAGAATGCAGCGGCTCGTCTGGTTTTCAACCTTCCTAAATTCTCCCACACCACTCCGCTCCTCCGCTCCCTTCACTGGCTTCCGGTAACTGCTAGAATCCACTTCAAGACACTGGTACTTGCTTACCATGCTGCGAATGGATCTGGCCCCTCCTACATCCAGGACATGGTTAAACCGTACACCCCAGCGCGTGCACTACGCTCTGCATCAGCCAAACGACTCGTTGCGCCCTCGCTGCGAGGGGGACCCAAGTTCCCATCGGCGAAAACACGTGGGTTTGCTGTCCTGGCTCCAAGATGGTGGAATGAGCTCCCCATTGACATCAGGACGGCAGATAGCTTGCACATCTTCCGGCGCAAACTGAAAACTCATCTCTTTCGACTCCACTTCGAGCGTTAGAACTATTAACAAAGCACTTATATACTAATAAAGGACTGGCTTACCTAAAGCCAGTTGAGCAGCACTTGAAATGTTTGGCTCTATGAAACCTGATATACTTTATGATTCTGTTTTCTTCAAGGTTGTGTCTTCCTGGTCTAATGTACTTATTGTAAGTCGCTTTGGATAAAAGCGTCAGCTAAATGCAATGTAATGTAATTGTGAATCGCCTCCACACATGAAAGCTGAGTGTAGGCCTATAGCTGTCAAACTGTGATCACCAGTTCAATACATTTGACAAATTCGACTTGGTTTCTACACTTATTTGAACATGTATTTTATAGGATATGTACATTTCGGTTAACCGGTTAACCGTTTTTTGGGGGGTCGAATATTCGAATATACATTTGCTTTAAAATTCCCATCCCTAGTTTACAAGACAGCAGGGGATTCTGGGATGGCTGCAAATCCAGCTCTAACCCCTCACTCTGAAGATTCATCAATTATTCAATAATGCATGCACGGAGAAATGTGCAGGCACTTAAGAAGCAAACTACTTAAGCAAATTCATTGTTGCTCTCCACGTATAAGCATGAGGGTGCCTGACAGCTAATACTTTGTACCAAACTAACACTGATGCAAGTTCAGTGATGGCTGCAGAACATGCTGTATTACCGCCGGCTGAAGAAGCTCCACTGCTGAGCAACGCAAGAAAGGAGAGAGTCCCACCTGGCAAAGCATAGGAAATGAAATTGGAGGAGGGTGATGCAGCAGGTTTCAACACCAGATCAGGACTTCTGCCTTCGTAGGGCTGTGTGTGTGTGTGTGTGTGTGTGTGTGTGTGTGTGTGTGGTGTGTGTGTGTGTGTGTGTGTGTGTGTGTGTGTGTGTGTGCAGCATCCTGAATGTGGGGGGACATTTTTTAATGGGGAGTGGGGGGGTCCTCCCCAACGAAACAAAAAATAGATTTCCTGTATTCTGATGGTTTGATACTTTTATGTGGCTATACTAGCATGAGGGAAATGATGGGTACATTTTGTAGTTTCATCCAGTAGTAAAGAAAGGAAACATATTTGATTATTAATTCAGAGCCGTCTTTGAATTAATAAAAAGCAGTTTAAATGCCCATTTTTTGTACATTTATATGCAACAATAAATATGTGTGAGTGCGTTGAGAGATATTGTTGTGGAGAGTCATTTATATATAAATCGCAAAATACATTTGTGAATCCTTCTGTGAGCATTTATTAATATTGAGACTGATCTGACTCCATACAGATGTTAAGTTCACCTAGGAATGGTATCATTGACTTAAATGTTGCTCTTCTGTCTATATTGCTCATATGATGCCCCTTGACTGAAATGTTTCCTGTGCAATATCCCCACTGACTTCCTTAACACTCTGGGATGAGAGTCCACATCACAATTGACTCTAAACTGTCATTTCCCTTTCATCACTCACCTCAGCAACGGACCTCTCTCCACTGTCCCTGTGTTCTGCCTCTGACTCACTCTCAAGCGCCTAGATGTCAACAGAGGTGGTGAGGTGATCACTATTTATTGATCAGTATACTCTTTCACATTGAATCATAACAAGTCATACTGAATGTAAATACAACTGACTCTAAAGTAAGTCCCAGTCTGTGACATTGGACATTTTGAAGACTCAAAGTCCCAAGCAGTAGGTAGAATATTAGCTAGTCTATGTAATGTGCACAGAAAATAAATAGTTAACTGAATACTGGGATGGAAATTGCCTATAAGCACTCAGTAAACATAAACACACACAAAAAGCTTCTGAATGATAAGAAGTATAATTAACACATAATGCACATTACCATTTTGAGAGAGAGTACCGAAGTTAAAGAACTCAGAAAACAATCTCTCATCGAACTGAGGCTCCAGTGAAACACACTGACTGCGTCTCTACATGGACATCATGGTGTTTACATGAGCACAGAGAGATTGGGTTATTCATGTTCCCTGTTTACATGATAAATACTAGTAACCTGGCATTTCGATGCCTTTTCTCATCTAAACTATTCAGTATTTGTGTCTCTCTATCATGACATAAAGACGAAACTCCTCTCCACTGTTAGCCTTAACTGCTACCAGCTGATGACTTACTTTCCTCTTCTTTGAAATGTCATATATCCATGTTGTCTGGGGGAGAACACATATCAAACCAAGAGATCGACAGCTTTGATTTTCGCTGTATTAACAATGTCCTGAACACTTGGTGTGTGTGCCTTTACTGCCTTACCTCCGCTACCGGCATCGCTTCATACAACAGATCTGAGCTGTCCAGCTATGACAACACTCCTTGAACATGCGCGCGCTATGGGAGAATCTGCCTTGGTACAAAGCAGCAGTGAAAACATGGTACGGAGTTTCATTGAGTTGGGCATTCTCTCAATAAGCAAGTGGAATGGATTTGATAGTGAAGCTACTGACACAACGCTCTACAGAGTGCGGCGAGTGGAGAGATCCGATTCACGGACTTTCCACATGGTAAAAGTGGGGGGGACTTGTCCCACTGTGTGTGTGTGTGTGTGTGTGTGTGTGTGTGTGTGTGTGTGTGTGTGTGTGTGTGTGTGTGTGTGTGTGTGTGTGTGTGTGTGTGTGTGTGTGTGTGTGTGTGTGTGTGTGTGTGTGTGTGTGTGTGTGTGTGTGTGTGTGGAAAGAGATGAGCAGTTACCTGAGAGCCTCCAGCGATGGGGATGATACATGTGAGGAGATTTCCAACCACCGTTTCCATGGGGACAGTGAGGCCATCTACGTGGACGGTGTAGATCAGACCCAGGCAGTTCTGTTCAATTAAAGCAGAGGGAAAAAGTAAAAAACAAAAAAAAGCATGTGACTGTTTAATGTCATATCTACTAAAAATGAAACAATGCATCGGCTGCCTTTATTATTTAGAGATTTGTTTTGAGTGTAACTTGGTGCAGTTACTTTAGAGACATTGTTTAATTATGAGCATTGATTCAAATGTTGTGTTGAAGAAAAGTGTTTGTGTATGCTGTCAATTATAGGAAATTTGGCGAGTAAGAGTCAGAAAATTGCAATTATTCCACTATAATTGTATACTTGTATGTATATATACTAAAACAGGGTATATGCAAGAATCCTGAAGTCAAATGTAATACCTTTTAAGACCCTTTCCATACATTTTAAGACCTCATCGGGTTAGGTTATTATATTTATATAATATCTGTTTGGTATTTTGAGCAAAACACTTCATAGACATGTTTTTTATATATGTTTATATATCTGAGACCTGTGCTATTGCCTACAAATAGCATGATAGGTGACCTTTAAGACAAATCGCTTTTCAAAATCATTCATCCCCTCTGCACTCAAACCTTTAAATTCTTGATTATTTTAACGTGATTATTTATTTACTTATTTATTGTGATGCTATGAATTATTTATGGTGTAAATTGGAACGATCCACATCCAGGCTCCCGGGTGTATCTGCGTGCTTTCTTCCTGTATGTTCCTGTCTGTGTACATGACATAAGCTGCTCACAACTAATTGCCCCTTGCAGGATTAATACAGCTGTAATCAAATATAATAATAATTCATTCTATTTAGAGGCGCCTTTCAAAGGACACCTTACAATTCATAAAATATTCTAAGGAAAGGTTTAACAAAAGGACCGTACAGGGAACATGTAGCACTACAGTGAGTAGGCTGATCTAATCTGATCTAATACAAAACAAAGTTGTATTATTATATGTTGCGTGTGACCCTGAACGTACCCTGAACACCTCGGTGTAGTCCAGACGGGACACCAGCACCAGGCTCTTGGGGGCGAAGACTTGAGCGGCTCTGACGACGGAGAGATCGTCCTCCACCTCGTCCGCCTCGCTGGTCTCAGACTTCTGCAGCTGATCAGAGACACAGATCAGAAACACAGATCAACATCAGGCCCACAGTAACACTTTAAACTGTTTACACACAGGATTTACAAACAAAATGATATAGCGTGTGGGAGTGATGCAGCGAAAGAGACACACATTTATTCCAACATAGATGGTAGGTGAAACACTTCAAAGATTGTATTAAATGGTTGTATAACACATTGAATTTCCTTAATTCAGATACATATTGCCCACTTGGCTGAGTCTATCTGAACTCCACAACCCAAACCCGAAATTCAACTTACATTTTGTTCATGTTTTATTGCCTAAAACGGAGTTATAGTGCATAAAAAACATGTTAGCCTTCTGGCCATGCTTGTGCTTTTGAGATAAGTTGCAAGACTTATATTGCAGTTTAAAATGAGGCATCACAAAGTAAAATGAGGGGGATTAAGAGCATATAAATGCACAGAGACACAGATCACTATCCTGCCGATTAACCCTTTAAACTGTTTACACACAGGGTTTACAAACGAAACGATATATCGTGCGGGAGTGATGTTATTCCAACATCAGAGCAGATAAATATTGCCCACCTGGCTGATCACCCTTTCAGACGGTTCTAGTGACCTTTCATCCAAATCACTTTATTCTCATTACAATTGACCAGAGGTGTGGACTTGAGTCAGACTCCAGTCACCAATTTGATGACTTGAGACTCGACTTGACAAAATCACAAAAGACTTGCGACTCGACTTGGACTTGAACACCAATGACTCGGGACTTGACTTGGACTTGAGCCTTCTGACTTGAGGTGACTTGATCATTTAATTCAGAGGTCTCCAACACGCCGATCGTGAGCTGCCGCTAGAAGAGAAGACTCCCGTCGGGGAAAGCAGAATCTCCAGCCGCTCCTACTCTTGCTGAGAATCCTTGCCGGCAGGGGCAGGTCTTTATTTAGCTGGGCCACCATGCGGCCAATCATATGCGAGGACACACTAGGATCATACCATTATGTGAAAGAAGGGTGGGGGGCACAGCAGGTGTAGTGGTACAGGCCAGCTGCACAGAGCGACGGGGAGACGGATTTAAATGCAAGCGCCTCGGAAAAAGTCAAGAAATGAGCGAGAACCGAAAAAAGAAGCAGCATCTGGCTGCTTTTCAATGATATTGGAGAAAGCAAAGCTGAGTGCAAGGCAAGGCAAGTTTATTTATATAGCACTTTTCAACACAAGGCAATTCAAAGTGCTTTACAAAAAATGAAAGAGATTAAGAAAATGGCATTTAAAATCAGTCATTCAAAAGAAAAGCTAATAAAATAAACATTTTTATTATTTTTATTATCAAGTGCAGGATTTGTAAAAATGAAAATAACCTTCAGAGCAGGGTTTTGTTTTGGTAACCACTCAGGATTTATTGTCAGAGGTGGGAGAAGTTCAGATCTTGTACTTGAGTAAATGTTCCAGAGTCTAGGAATACTCAATAAAAAGTCCTGCATTCAAAATGTTACTCAAGTAAAAGTACAAAAGTATTAGCATCAAAATACACATAAAGTACCACCTGCAGAGGGATCTAGATGCAGGTGTTCTCTTCCCCATAGAGACCGCCTCGCTGCACATTATCCCTTGCATAAAGATAGATTGTGGGTCCCTTATAACATGTTGTACACAGTGGAAATAAACATTCTGGTTGACTCAACATCAGGGATCTTATACATTAAACTCCTTCTGAATCAAACCGTCACGGTAGCCTTACCTTACTGATCCCTCTTAAAATAGAAAAACACATGTTACTTTACCAGCAGAGAGAAAATGGATTATTAAATTATTAATGTGACTAATAAAGAGCAATTTGATTATTAAGTATTATTCTGTTGATCGATGTCATTACATTTGGTGAAAAACACATAATGACTTGTTTAAGACTCGTTTTGTCAAAGTTTAGGACTTGACTTGAACTTGAGTGCAAATACTTGAGACTTGACTTGAACTTGCCCATCCTGACTTGAGACTTGACTCGGACTTGAGCGCAAAGACTTGAGACTTGACTCAGACTTGAGCGCAAAGACATGAGACTTGACTCGGACTTGAGCGCAAAGACATGAGACTTGACTCGGACTTGAGCGCAAAGACTTGAGACTTGACTCGGACTTGCAAAACAATGACTTGGTCCCACCTCTGCAATTGACTATAACATTACCCAATTCTTCCAATACTTGTAAAACTTTCTGAAACTGGAAAATGTTTTAAATTATTTGTAAATGTCCCCTAATTTTTGTAAAATATTCAAACTTGCTTTTTTCATGTTTTATTGCCTACAACTGGGGTATAGTGCATACAAGACATGTTAGCCTTCTGCCTACTTCTAGCCATACTTGTGCTTTTTAACAAGACTTATAGAATACAGCATGTTTTGTTAGTAATCCTGCTTTAACTCTGTCAAGGTGTTTGACAGAAAGCCTTATTCATACCACCATCCTTGAAAAACACAATTTCTTAGGTTTTGACAATTTTAAGTCTTTTAAAACTATGTGTTTTATTTATAAATGTTTACATGGACTGCCCCCCCCACTGCGTTCACACCAGCAATGAAGCGCTCCAGAGTTCGCAAGCAAGCGCTCCGAGACCACCTATTTTAGCGGACCAGAGTCCAGTTGTTTAGTTCACTTCAGAGGACTGTGTTCACACCGACCCAAACGAACCGCACCAAGCGGCTAAACGCACCAGGGTTCGATTCAACCGGACTATACAAGGCAGGTGTGAACGCACCCTTATCTCCTCTTGCACTTTATGTATCTCTTGTGTCTTCTCTTGCACCTTATATGTGGTAGCTGCTACATTGTACTGAATGTGGTAAATACTTGTGTATGCTGCTCTTGCTCTCTTGCACTTTTTGCATATCATGTGTTTGCTATGTTTGTAAATTGTAATTTTCTTAAATGTTGTATGTGAGGGACTGCGGATGGAAATGAGCTCAAAGCTAAATCTGGCACTGTTACGCTTGACACAATTTGTAATGTTTTAAGTGTTCATCACTGTGCATTGTCCCTGCCAAAGAAAGACAAGTTGCTTAAACGGTACAATTAAATTAAAATAAAAAAACTCAACCATGTCCCTTTTTCTCTTTCTCAAATGACACTTTTGTGAGTTGGTTACATTACCCTCTATCAAAGGTTGCCTCTTGTAAGCTATGCACACACTTCAGAGAGGATGTAATGGTCACTTTACACAGTTAAAAATGAGGCATCAGAGAGTAAAACTGGGGGGGTTAAGAGCATATACATGCATGTTTTCTGCACATGAACTCATGCTCACCTGTGGGTTGTCCAGGCCCTCCCAGAAGGTGAAGCAGGCACAGTAGTGACGCTCAGAGTTGATGTCGGTCAAAACCGCCACGAAGAAAGAGGCAGGCTGTCGCTCAGTATACAGCTGCCAACCAGTGGGCTGACAGAACTGAGGAGGAGGAGGAGGAGGAGGAGGAGGAGGAGGAGGAGGAGGAGGAGGAGGAGGAGGAGGAGGAGGAGGAGGAGGAGGAGGAGGAGGAGGAGGAGGAGGAGGAGGAGGAGGAGGAGGAGGAGGAGGAGGAGGAGGAGGAGGAGGAGGAGGACATTAATCAGATGGTGATGGTGTAAATACCAACATGGGTGACGTATCAGACAGCATTCAGTCACATGACCTCACAGCACCTCAGGCTGATTCGTCCAGGCTGTTATTAACACAATAAAACAACGTCCACTTTCGTAATATCACCTGACGGAACGATCTGAAGAGCCATGGAAGTACATGATTCTAATTTTCAGGTGTTTATCACAGGAGTCTCTACTTTAAAGAGTCCTCTCCTGCTGATGATCAGGTGTATATCAGTATGTAGAGTCTCTACTTTAAAGAGTCCTCTCCTGCTGATGTTCAGGTGTATATCAGTATGTAGTGTCTCTACTTTAAAGAGTCCTCTCCTGCTGATGTTCAGGTGTATATCAGTATGTAGTGTCTCTACTTTAAAGAGTCCTCTCCTGCTGATGTTCAGGTGTATATCAGTCTGTAGTGTCTCTACTTTAAAGAGTCCTCTCCTGCTGATGTTCAGGTGTATATCAGTATGTAGTGTCTCTACTTTAAAGAGTCCTCTCCTGCTGATGATCAGGTGTATATCAGTATGTAGTGTCTCTACTTTAAAGAGTCCTCTCCTGCTGATGTTCAGGTGTATATCAGTATGTAGTGTCTCTACTTTAAAGAGTCCTCTCCTGCTGATGTTCAGGTGTATATCAGTCTGTAGTGTCTCTACTTTAAAGAGTCCTCTCCTGCTGATGTTCAGGTGTATATCAGTATGTAGTGTCTCTACTTTAAAGAGTCCTCTCCTGCTGATGTTCAGGTGTATATCAGTCTGTAGTGTCTCTACTTTAAAGAGTCCTCTCCTGCTGATGTTCAGGTTCATATCAGTATGTAGTGTCTCTACTTTAAAGAGTCCTCTCCTGCTGATGTTCAGGTGTATATCAGTATGTAGTGTCTCTACTTTAAAGAGTCCTCTCCTGCTGATGATCAGGTGTATATCAGTATGTAGTGTCTCTACTTTAAAGAGTCCTCTCCTGCTGATGTTCAGGTGTATATCAGTATGTAGTGTCTCTACTTTAAAGAGTCCTCTCCTGCTGATGTTCAGGTGTATATTCAGTCTGTAGTGTCTCTACTTTAAAGAGTCCTCTCCTGCTGATGTTCAGGTGTATATCAGTATGTAGTGTCTCTACTTTAAAGAGTCCTCTCCTGCTGATGTTCAGGTTCATATCAGTATGTAGTGTCTCTACTTTAAAGAGTCCTCTCCTGCTGATGTTCAGGTGTATATCAGTATGTAGTGTCTCTACTTTAAAGAGTCCTCTCCTGCTGATGTTCAGGTGTATATCAGTATGTAGTGTCTCTACTTTAAAGAGTCCTCTCCTGCTGATGTTCAGGTGTATATCAGTCAGTAGTGTCTCTACTTTAAAGAGTCCTCTCCTGCTGATGTTCAGGTGTATATCAGTATGTAGTGTCTCTACTTTAAAGAGTCCTCTCCTGCTGATGTTCAGGTGTATATCAGTATGTAGTGTCTCTACTTTAAAGAGTCCTCTCCTGCTGATGTTCAGGTGTATATCAGTCAGTAGTGTCTCTACTTTAAAGAGTCCTCTCCTGCTGATGTTCAGGTGTATATCAGTATGTAGTGTCTCTACTTTAAAGAGTCCTCTCCTGCTGATGTTCAGGTGTATATCAGTATGTAGTGTCTCTACTTTAAAGAGTCCTCTCCTGCTGATGTTCAGGTGTATATCAGTCTGTAGTGTCTCTACTTTAAAGAGTCCTCTCCTGCTGATGTTCAGGTGTATATCAGTATGTAGTGTCTCTACTTTAAAGAGTCCTCTCCTGCTGATGTTCAGGTTCATATCAGTATGTAGTGTCTCTACTTTAAAGAGTCCTCTCCTGCTGATGTTCAGGTGTATATCAGTATGTAGTGTCTCTACTTTAAAGAGTCCTCTCCTGCTGATGATCAGGTGTATATCAGTATGTAGTGTCTCTACTTTAAAGAGTCCTCTCCTGCTGATGTTCAGGTGTATATCAGTATGTAGTGTCTCTACTTTAAAGAGTCCTCTCCTGCTGATGTTCAGGTGTATATCAGTCTGTAGTGTCTCTACTTTAAAGAGTCCTCTCCTGCTGATGTTCAGGTGTATATCAGTATGTAGTGTCTCTACTTTAAAGAGTCCTCTCCTGCTGATGTTCAGGTTCATATCAGTATGTAGTGTCTCTACTTTAAAGAGTCCTCTCCTGCTGATGTTCAGGTGTATATCAGTATGTAGTGTCTCTACTTTAAAGAGTCCTCTCCTGCTGATGATCAGGTGTATATCAGTATGTAGTGTCTCTACTTTAAAGAGTCCTCTCCTGCTGATGTTCAGGTGTATATCAGTATGTAGTGTCTCTACTTTAAAGAGTCCTCTCCTGCTGATGTTCAGGTGTATATCAGTATGTAGTGTCTCTACTTTAAAGAGTCCTCTCCTGCTGATGTTCAGGTGTCAGTATGTAATGACTCTACTTTAAAGAGTCCTCTCCTGCTGATGTTCAGGTTCATATCAGTATGTAGTCTCTCTACTTTAAAGAGTCCTCTCGTGATGATGTTCAGGTGTATATCAGTATGTAGTGTCTCTACTTTAAAGAGTCCTCTCCTGTTGATGTTCAGGTGTATATCAGTATGTAGTGTCTCTACTTTAAAGAGTCCTCTCCTGCTGATGTTCAGGTGTATATCAGTATGTCGTGTCTCTACTTTAAAGAGTCCTCTCCTGCTGATGTTCAGGTGTATATCAGTATGTAGTGTCTCTACTTTAAAGAGTCCTCTCCTGCTAATGTTCAGGTGTATATCAGTATGTAGTGTCTCTTCTTTAAAGAGTCCTCTCCTGCTGATGTTCAGGTGTATATCAGTATGTAGTGTCTCTACTTTAAAGAGTCCTCTCCTGCTGATGTTCAGGTGTATATCAGTATGTAGTGTCTCTACTTTAAAGAGTCCTCTCCTGCTGATGTTCAGGTGTATATCAGTATGTAGTGTCTCTACTTTAAAGAGTCCTCTCCTGCTGATGTTCAGGTTCATATCAGTATGTAGTGTCTCTACTTTAAAGAGTCCTCTCCTGCTGATGTTCAGGTGTATATCAGTATGTAGTGTCTCTACTTTAAAGAGTCCTCTCCTGCTGATGTTCAGGTTCATATCAGTATGTAGTGTCTCTACTTTAAAGAGTCCTCTCCTGCTGATGTTCAGGTATATATCAGTATGGAGTGTCTCTACTTTAAAGAGTCCTCTCCTGCTGATGTTCAGGTATATATCAGTATGGAGTGTCTCTACTTTAAAGAGTCCTCTCCTGCTGATGTTCAGGTATATATCAGTATGGAGTGTCTCTACTTAAAGAGTCCTCTCCTGCTGATGTTCAGGTGTATATCAGTATGTAGTGTCTCTACTTTAAAGAGTCCTCTCCTGCTGATGTTCAGGTGTATATCAGCATGGAGTGTCTCTACTTTAAAGAGTCCTCTCCTGCTGATGTTCAGGTGTATATCAGTATGTAGTGTCTCTACTTTAAAGAGTCCTCTCCTGCTGATGTTCAGGTTCATATCAGTATGTAGTGTCTCTACTTTAAAGAGTCCTCTCCTGCTGATGTTCAGGTGTATATCAGTATGGAGTGTCTCTACTTTAAAGAGTCCTCTCCTGCTGATGTTCAGGTGTATATCAGTATGTAGTGTCTCTACTTTAAAGAGTCCTCTCCTGCTGATGTTCAGGTGTATATCAGCATGGAGTGTCTCTACTTTAAAGAGTCCTCTCCTGCTGATGTTCAGGTGTATATCAGTATGTAGTGTCTCTACTTTAAAGAGTCCTCTCCTGCTGATGTTCAGGTTCATATCAGTATGTAGTGTCTCTACTTTAAAGAGTCCTCTCCTGCTGATGTTCAGGTGTATATCAGTATGTAGTGTCTCTACTTTAAAGAGTCCTCTCCTGCTGATGTTCAGGTGTATATCAGTATGTAGTGTCTCTACTTTAAAGAGTCCTCTCCTGCTGATGTTCAGGTGTATATCAGTATGTAGAGTCTCTACTTTAAAGAGTCCTCTCCTGCTCATGTTCAGGTGTATATCAGTATGTAGTGTCTCTACTTTAAAGAGTCCTCTCCTGCTGATGTTCAGGTGTATATCAGTATGTAGTGTCTCTACTTTAAAGAGTCCTCTCCTGCTGATGTTCAGGTGTATATCAGTATGTAGTGTCTCTACTTTAAAGAGTCCTCTCCTGCTGATGTTCAGGTGTATATCAGTATGTAGTGTCTCCTTGCTTTAATGTTCAAAAAGCTCTTTATTTGTCTCATACTGTTTGTGCTGCAGCACCTCCTTTCACCCTCTGTCTGAAACCAGAGCCCAGTCTGCTCTGGTTGGTTAGCTGGCCGGCTCTGTTGTGATTAAAGCTGTCCCTCCCCTTAGCCTATAACGTCCAATGTGTTGGAGAGTTTATTTTCTACTTGTTGTGAAGCACTTTGAAATGCCTTGAGTTGTACTACATAAATAAACATTCCTTGTTTCTCAATCAGTCCTCATTTTTTCGTGTTTTCTTGCATCTACGAATAAAATGAGCTGCCTGGGAAATGTAACCCCTCACCCCGACATTGCCTTGTTTAACCCTCTGTTATACACTTGACCATTATGTGTCTCTAAGTGTTGACTTACCAGCTCTACGCCCTGTGGGAAGGGGCTGTCCTCCCAGTCTTTCTCAGGAAACCGCTGGAGAATGCGACCTTGACCTTCACCCTCGACGGCTGAGAGACAAACACAGAGGTTAGAGTGTGTTATTTAGACTGTTGTCTGTTTGTTTCCCTAAGCTCTATTACGGATTGTATTTATTTCAGAGATAGGTTTACAGACTGGATGTGAGCACTAGCTACTGAACGACAAATACAGGGTAGCTGCCAATCTTTGAATACACTAGAAAACTTGCCAACGTACCAACATTACAACTGCAAAGGTAACAAATCATTTCAGATCATGCTCAGAAACAAACAGCTGTTTTCATGCCTGTTCATTCATTGTCAGGTTGGTCTTTTAAAAAGGAGTCCATTTCTTCCCGTTTAACAGAGGGATGTGTTAAAATGCCTATTTGCTGCATGTTAATGAGGCCATTTCCCCTGTTGGCCCGGGTCACAGTAACACAATGACACGACAAAGACCGACTTATGCAACCAGCACAAGCCTGTCTTTCAGCCGCGTTCAGACTGGCAGCATTCATCCTCACACAGAATACACTTATCCTCCTCGTACAGGCGATGTAAATCGAGCATTAAACTTACAAAATTCCCAAATACTATCACCAGCATTGCGACGAAACCTTGGAGCTGCCTGAGAGAACTCAAAAGGCCTCGGGGCTTTTTTCTAAGGGAACTTCAACAGAGGCACAGTAGACAAAACACAAACAGAAAGTAGGCCAGCTCCCAAAACACACAGTCACGCCTTCTTTAACTCTCCCGTTTTTAACTCTGACCCCGTTGCTGCTATTAACGCCTGAGAATCTTATCTGATCTGTGGATCGGTGTGTGTGGTGATGTTCTGGCTGTGACTCCTCGTGTTGAATCATGTTGTGCAGACGGAGATCTTAAAAAGCAGTGCATGTGTCGGCTGTCACGTTCTGTAATATTATGTTGTCAGAGGATGATGAGCTGTAGGTGTGTCAGGAACACACACACACACACACACATACCATGTATACATCACTTCAGGGGACATTACATTGACTTTTATGCATTTTCTGGAGACTTATACTAACCTTAACCATAACCAACACATGTCTAACCCTAACCAAGTCTTCACCCTAAAATTAATGATTCCCCTTATGGGGACCTCCATTTTGTCCCCATAAGGGAGGCGAGTCCCCACACGTGACTATGTAAACAGATTTAGGTCCCCACAAGTATAGTAATGCTAGTATATATACACACACACACACACACACACACACACACACACACACACACACACACACACACACACACACACACACACACCACACACACACACACACACACACACACACACACACACACACACACACACACACACACACACACCACACACACACACACACACACACACACACACACACACACACACACACACACACACACACACACACACACACACACACACACACACACACACACACACACACAATTCAACTGCTGTAACACCATCTGTAAAAAAAACTGTGCAATATATACTTTTATTTTCATTGTCTGGCTGCTATCAACCTACTTCTAATCTACATGGTACACTTGTTTGAATGTTGCTATGTTGCTGTACTTATTGTTGTCCACCTGGATGGGTACATTTCATAACGTGTCATTTCTATATGTAATATAATATGCATGCCTTTTAATTTATATTTATCCTCTTTACTTTTGCTGTAACAATGTCAATTTTAAAGTTATTCTGTCTCTGATCTGCTCGGAGAGACACGTAGTTTTCTCACCACCACAGAAACAAGCCATATGTTGGATGCATTAAGTGTCTCCTTGTTGCAAGAGGCTCATTTCCCCTCCAGTCTGCTTACGGGAAGTATGTGTGCCGGCCTAGAAAGGAATCCATGGAATATAAACACGACTTAAATGCTTCCTAAGGACCTTACAAAACCAGCAACTACTCAGAGAAATTAGAAGGAACGGAGCAAAATAGTGACTGTGCCATAACGCTAACAAATCACCACAACCACAGCACGGAGCAACTCGTCATAACAGTCAATCATATTTTACTTATTAGTAGTGTACCATCCCTGCTGACAGAAGCCTGAGAATATCCAGATATCGAGTTCAGAGCCTGAGCCAACATTGAATTAGCTCATAAAACTGAAATGAAATGGCAAGCCTGTTACCTCACAGGCTAATAATCCACCAATCAACTGAGAGCTAAAGCAACCTTTGCATGCATCAGGTCAGCTGTTTTTTAAAGATGGGAAATCACTGTTCTCTGTATCACACACTGATACCGCATCACGTTACCATAACGGGATCCAGCTAATTGTGATAATTATTCTGTTTAATTGGATTATACCTCTCACAACATGCTGCAAACTCAGTAAACAATAGGAGGGTATTTGATAATGATGAATGTCTCCAACCTCGTGAAAAATTGGGCACATTTCTCGTATTTTTCTACAGATTTTCAATCATCCTCTGAATTACTCCAGATTCTTGCTAACACACCACCTTCATATCCATGTGCTACATGATTATGATGTTGGTTTCAACAACCAGTGTTTCTTCTTATTCAACATAGGGCTGTCCCGAATACCATTTTTCAGGCTCCAGATATTCGGTCGTGATCGGCAGCGGACCGCTTCAACACGTGTATTTCGGTTTATTCACGGCATTCATTTTGTTATTCTACAGTATTGTTGTTTTATAGTTATTTGTTAATGTATATAACTCAAGTTGTGTTCTTTGAAATTGAAAAGGATATCGCGTTGTGTTTGTTGTATATGTCTTAAGTGTAATTTGTCTTGGCTTCCTATTTTGTATGGACATTTTTATTTATTTTTTAAGGAGTTAGCGCTGTTGACAGGAAGTTGTTGTTGCTATGGAAACAACGTGACGGAGATTAACGGAGAAAAGTCATATCTACATATAAAGACGGAGAAAGTAACCGATAAAGGTTATGGTTACGTGTTAGCGCCCCCCGAAGAGGCACAAGCTCTTACGTTGATATTGGAGATTTGAATAAATTCAATTTAAAATAAAAAAAAAATATCCGAATAACGAAATTGAAACCCGAATAGTAGTCCAACGAACGAATATTCGGGTACAACCCTAATTCAACAAGCGTCTCATCTCTAATTAAGCCCTCACTCCTCTCACTGTAGTAAAGGCTTGAGTCACACAAACCAACACCATCAAACACTTCATCTCACTGAGCTGCAGAAACACACTCACCATCAAAACTAAGCACATAAAGTTATCAGTAGTGTCTATCAAAGGGGGGGGGGGGGGGGGGATGTGAGCAGAGTTCAGTGGCATCGCAGGAATGTGTGACATCCAACTATCAGCTGGATCGGTTGCCTAACAACAACAACAGGTTATTACTGAGTTGCATCTGAGACGGGAACTGTTGCATCGTTTACCTCCATAGACTTTTTGGCACCAGCTTGTTTTTGCTTTCTTTGTCTGGTTCCCTCCTCCAGCATATCTCATATAAACTGTAGGTTTTGATCCGTGCATCTTGGGTTACTTGCTCCTGGAAAGCCTGTCGTTGCATGTCTTGTTTTGAATTACGGACATTGCATTCACACAGACACAACTGCACATTTACATTCTAACAACTATCGGATGTATATATGTTTATATTATACTGCAGATAACGCTGCACTTGACTACTTGTTCTGTACTTCTGGTTGGATAATAACTGCATTCCGTAATACTTGTACACTGTGCAATGACAATAAAGTTGAATCTAATCTAAAATAGCTCTCGTCAGTCATTTTAAAAGCTCAAACAAACACCACACTCATAATCTCATCCCCTCATTTCCAACAAGGATAAATGCCTCAAAAGTTGTTACACTAAAAAGAATAAGACATATTTGAAAGCAGCATTAACAAAGAGTCTGAAAGCCCGAGCAACACAAGAACCTGATTTAACACCTCTGAAAGGTTTCAAATCAAACGTATTGCTGTAAGGCTACTGCAGTGTGTGTTATTGTTTAGGGCTGTACCCGAATATCCGAATATTCGTTCGTTGGAGTACTATTCGGGTTTCAATTTCGTTATTCGTTTGTTTTTTTTGGCTGCAGCTGCCAAATTGAATTTATTGAACACTCCAATATCAACGTAAGAGCTTGTGTCTCTTCGGGGGGTGCTAACACTTAACCATAACGTTATTGTTTACTTTCTCCGTCTTCATATTATATCTTTATATGTAGATATTACTTTTTCTCCGTTAATCTCCGTCACGTTGTTTCCATAGCAACAACAACTTCCTGTCAACAGCGCTAACTCTCCTTCAAAATAAAAGCATGTCAATACAAAATAGGAAGCCAAGCCAAATTACACTTAAGACATATACAACTGCAACGAAAGTAACAAACACAACGCGATATCCTTTTAAGTTTCAAAGAACACAAATTGGGTTACATTAACAAATAACTATAAAACAACAATACTGTAGAATAACAAAATGAATGCCGTGGAAAAACCAAAATACACGGTACCCCGCGCTGGCTGAATATTCGCTGCTGATTACTACCGAATATCCGGAGCCCGAAAAATGATATTCGGGACAAACCTACGTCCACCTCGTGAACTGGAAGGAGTGTGTAGCAGCAGCTGTGTGTTCTCAGTGTGAACCACACAATCAGAAAGTCACAATCAGTGCATTCAGTTCCTGCAGTGCTGAGCACCCACAGGGAGCACACTCTTCTTTTAGATGAGTAGTTTTGTGGGTTCTTTTGAATCTACTTGAGAGTTGGCTAACTAGCGTCCGCTTACGCCGCCATCATAACAGAAGTATTTGTGTTTACTTTACAATATGTGCCAAGTACAGCTTGATATTAACACTACAAAGGGACATTTTGACCACCTTTGGTAAGGCTGCCAGAAAACCATTAAACAACCCAACAGAGATCTAGCTTTCTGCAGGATAACGCCACAGATACAATCAGAGCCTCATGCCAGCCACATTCAACAACAACAGAGCCTCAAAACAACCAAGCGGGTTCAGTCTGCTTTTTAAAAACCAACACATAAGTTAAAGGTGGGGTAAGTTTGAGAAACCGGCTC